TGTTAATTCTTCTCTCTCTGGGACAGAATGTGCCCAAAGAGAGAAGATTTCATCACTTCCTGTAGCTGTGTAACTGTCAACACAGGACAGGATAGGACAGGGATCAATCATTCGACTTGGGCCGAAAATCACTGGCCTAAATCGGATGATTGATCCTTCAGAGATCAAATCATGGCACCCGTTGGTTGGCGGGGGGGGCATGAGCGCCAGTGAAAACTGCGGGAGAGCGAATCACGTATATATGCATGATCCTGCACACAGGTGCTGCCCTGCAGCAGTAAATGTACTGTGCGCAGTCCTTAAGTGGTTAAAGGCTTACTGTTTTTTTCTAAAAATAACAAACATGTTATACTTACTTGCTGTGTGCAGTGGTTTTGCACAGAGCAGCTCAGGTCCTCCTCTTCTTGGGTCCCCCCCCCTTCCCTCCTTTCAGGTTCCCCCACAGCAAGTAGCTTGCTATGGGGGCACCTGCTGCTCCGTGTGTCCATTCACAGCTTGGCCCTGCCCACTCTCTCTTCTCATTGGCTCACTGGCTGTTATTGACAGCAGCGGGAGCCAATGGCTCCCGCTGCTGTCTCAGCCAATGAGGAGAGGGAGAGACTTCATTGCACATCGCTGGATCGAGAGGGGGCTTAGGCGAGTATTGGGGGGGGGGGGGGGCCTGGTGGTGCTGCTGCACAGAAAAGGTTTTTCACCTTCATGCATAGAATGCATGAAGGTAATAAACCTTAAGCCTTTACAATCACTTTAACTGATTGAATCATTATGCTGCTAGCATTAGTAAATAGATAGGAGAGTATATCATATTTACTTCATATCATATTTACTTGTTTTAAACTGTTTTCTACATTTCTTTAGTTACTTCTTGGCCTAGGCAAATTATATCATACATCCCAGGAGTCTTCAGGAGAGGAGGAGAGGTTTTTCAGCTAAGCACACCCCCTGCCTGTATTCCTGAGGGCAGATGAATTCCAGGAAGTAATTGCTACCTGAATCATTTACCCTTAATAAAGATCCACATCCAGAAATTCTAAGGGGTGCTTTTCTAAGTGATTTCTTAGCAAAATAAAGCATGAAGACATGAGCGGATGGATGAGTTTGCTTTGAATATCAAAAATAAATTAAATAGCGCTTTTGGTTTGTGGTGCTCAGATACAGTGTAATTCCACCAGGGGCGGACTGACAACTTATGGGGCCCCCGGGCAGTAGGGGATCATGGGGCCCCTGTGTCCTTGCCCACACTCAAAAAAGCCTATAAAAAAGGTACCAGGGGCATTTCATGGGGCCCCCTACTGACCCTGGGCCCTCGGGCAGTGCCCGAGTGCTCGAATGGTCAGTTCGCCCCTGAGTTCCACTTTAAAATCCGATCATATTTGATCTTACAATCTGTTTTACATTTATCAATAACTTCAGAGGTCTGCCTGACTGAATATAAAAATTAAAATCATTGTTTAATTAGGTCATCAAACTATGCTAAATCTAAAGGAGGTGATATAATCAGATTATATTTTGTTTGGCCAGGAAACCATTTGTTTAGCAAAGAAAAATCTGCTTGCATGCATTGCAAGATGTCTAAAAGCATGAGGCAATTGCTGACAAAAGCATTACTCTTCCAGCCTCATTTGATAACTTATGATATCCTCTTATGATCAATTTTGATGGTTCAAAGACCAAATACAGTGTAAAATTTCATCACAGTTGTTACTGCCTGTATGTCTATCCATACTTCATATTGATTTGACAAATTTGATTTAATTAAGCTTTACATGCTTTTTCTTGTTCGAAAAAGTGTATCTAACAGCGTTGCTGCAACAGTCTGCATGATGTGGCTGCCTTCTGTCTGCACACATTAAATATGCTTGTATCGTTAGTAAATAATTTACCAAGTTATTTATGTAGCAAACAGCAATAAAACATGCAGTGGCAACAAAAAACATTGACGTCTGTGAAAAATTAGGGAACATGTTCATATTTTTTTTAGGTGTTGTTTTCTGTTGCCAATCATACTACCATACTTTATAATATTTAGATATTATTATGAAAGTCCTGTAATCTTTTTAAAGAGGACTTTGGAATTGATGCCCAAAAAAAGGCAAGCAAAGGTCTGGTCATGCTTCCTTGCATCAGATCTTCTCTCCATTACTGACTTGGTATAGAGGCTTTCCTTATACATGTCACAGCTGCCCCCCTGATGAATGCTGATCTGAGGATATATAGGGTAATGATCAATGATCAGCAGGAGAGGTGGAGGCAGCACAGAACCACAAAATAAGTGAAGCAGAAACAGAGATCATGACACTGCAGATGCATGTGTACAACTTTCTCTCCAGAAGAGATAACAGTGAACAGCACAGTGGTGACATCACCAAATCTAATTTACTGCAAAACCAGGCACTCTAAACATATATAGATGCTACATACAAGAAATGTAAACTGAACGTGTGTAAAATTGGTATGGGGTTACATAGAGGTAGTTTAAATGAAAGATTTGATTCATTGAAAATTATATTGTACCCACCTTTTTATATAATCCCTTAGGGCTCGTTCACACTTGAATTTTTTCCAACTCTTGCCAAACGCCCCTATAGCGTTTGACAAGCATTGGTCCAGCGTTTGCAGAGCGTTTTTAACGCTCCGCAAATGCCGCATGCGTGGTTTAGCGGCGGTTGCTAGGCATTTGCCAAGCATTAAAAATGCCCCACAAACGCCTATAATGAAGTTTGAATGGTGTTACCGCTCTGCAACCTCCCCGCAACCACGTCGCAACTGCACAACAAACGCCGGCAGGGCGTTTGCGCAGCGGCATCATAGACTTGAATAGAAGGCTTCAACTCCTCCTGACTCAACACCATTGCATACCTCAACTCTCCATCAGACTGGGCTGGGGGGATTCGGGTTTGTGTGACCAGCTAAATTAATGCTTAAGGGAGTGCTGCTGCTGCTGTTTTTTTAGTTTTTGCTATCTGTTTGCCAATTTCTGAAAAAAATCCTTATCAAGAAAACCTCTAAGAAATACATTTACAACAAACCAAAAGACTCTGCAAAAACCTCTTCTATACCAAATTTAAATGATAAAATCACACATAATACAAATAAAATAAAAGATTGGATAGCTGGAATTTAATTTTAACACTGTATACACATACACAATTTACAGTGCAAAAACAATACCTGCAGAACTACACAATTCAGTCTAGGAGATACCTCTCCATCTATTATGTACACAACAATATTTATATTATCTAAAACATTCTTTAAAATAGATTTTACAGCCTATGTATTTATTTAAAAGACTGGCACATAAAAAATTAAGGTAAGCAGAATATCCTACTATCTTTTAAAGGATTAAAGGAACCTAAGTCTAACAGCCCCCCTCCTTGTCCTCCCCACAAATATATCAATTTGTACATACAGTATCTTAATTTGGGCACAGGAGCTAGGGTAACCTCTGTGCATCCACTCTTCTCCAAACTGCCATGATCAGCTTTTCTTAATAAACCTTCATAGAAAGGCCACCTATCCATATGTCTGCAGGGAAAGACTCCTTCCATTAGGGCTTATGGAAAGTACAGCATGGCTTTTTTGAACCTTCTCTTCCCCAGGTTTGATGAAGGCTGCAGCTTCCCACTGGGTCACCTGCCAGTCTCAGATATATTAAAAAAGCTATACTGAATATGAGAGGGGGGCAAGGGAAAACTGTTAGATTTAGAATGTTTATGACCAATATGAATTATCCTTTAAAGCTGAACCTCAGGAAAACAGCTAAATACACAGATGAAATACACAGATGGAAGCCATTTTACCTGCAAAAGGATTTGTATTTCTGTCCATGCAGTCCTTCACTTTACATGGCTTTGTCCCAAAGTACAACCCTGTCTAGCTGAAGATGGGACTTGATCTGTTCTGTTACAGTTTAACTTACATATATCCTCTCCACCCCCACCCTGTGAATAGATAATTCAAAGAGAAGCAGCACATTGATTCACTCCTTGTACTGCTTCTCCCTACCCCTCTCTGAACTCTGCTGTACAGGGACATATATCAAGACAAATGCTGCTACTTACAGTACTTAAATTAATTACTTAATGAAGTACATAAAGTAAGTATTTGCATCATTGGCTGGGCCGAGCCAGGCTATCTGAATAGATGCAAGCAGCACAACTTGGGAGCGAGCCAACTTGAGTGCACACCAAAGGAAGAGGCTTCCTATGGTGGGCAAAACCATTGCACAGAACAGTTAAGTATGATATGATTGTTATTTTAATTAAAAAAAGGGGAGGCTTAACAACCACTTGAACAAAAAAAACAATAAAATATGTTTGATATCAAGTCTACACATACAATTCAAACCTGACTAACTTATACATAGATCTCTAAGCATGTCCACACTAATATTACTGGGAAGAGTTTGCTAAGGGCATTGCCATAAGTGACTTTTTTTATTCTGTCAGTTACTAGAAACAGTGCTTGCAACATCTTGAGCAACAAGGATTATGGTAAAGAAATAGAAAATGAAAATTTGATCTGTTTTTCTGTGATACAACATCATAGCAATAATACATTATGAATTTAAACCTTAGACCAGCCAATATAATTGTTCCATTTTTCACTTCCATTTTTTTTAGGATTTGGAATCACTATCAGCATCTTAGAAAGGAAGCTGATGCTTTTGAAGATTTTTGTATTTCTACTGATGATTTCTTTACAATGTGAAGTGAAGTTTTCTTTTAATGACATGATCATTTACAGATTAAACCTAAAAATAAAACATTTGCCTTCAACACGATTGATGGAAATTAAAATAAAAACTCTTTCTCTTTCAGAAAATCAGCCATATGACTCCCTTATACTTCTTATATCATTTGTTTTGTACCTCATTAGACATATATGGACGAGTCCACCTGTAGACAGAAATAACCAAGATGGAATATGTCATTCTGACATATTTTACTGTTGTTTAAGATGTGGTGTAGATGTATACATTAGACTGACTTTTTTACCTTTGGAAGGGAGGTTCGGGATCCAGAGCTCTGTGTTGTCATAGTAAGCACCGTTGTTATACCAAGGGCAACTCTAGCTGGAGCAGCATCCATATTGATCCAAAAGGATACCCATGATAAAATAACAATCAAAAGACTGGGAATGTACATCTGAATCAGGTAATACCCCATCTGCCTCTCTAGATGGAATCGAACTTCAATGCATGTAAACTTTCCTTGGTGAAGATAAGAATTAGAAAGATGAAAAAGGAAAAAATTACATTTAGAATACCCATTAAAAAAAAAGAATAGAATATACATTTAAAATATCGGTAATGGTAAAAGAATATCCATTAGAAATATTTTCTCCATAGAGCTCATCACTGTGGTTGACTTTACCAAGTCATAACATTAGCCTCCTAGCGTGTGTCAATTATGACAATGTGATTTGGACTCCTCTTGCTGTATCTCTCTCTCTCTCTCGTCCCGGCCCATCTGAGCTGCAGTTCATTTGAACATGCACTTTTTGCACATTTAGCAAAGGTGATTAGTAAAGCGTATCTTAACCCAAGAACAAAATGTGATATTGCAGCTTACAAATTCCTAAATATGGTAATTTGTTCTCTTTTTTGGCCATTTTCCTTTATTTTCACCTAGTGATCCTTCCAGTAAGTCTGTTTTTTTCAACATCCGTTAACCACTTCCTGTCCGGACACTTTTACCCCTTCCTGTCCAGGGCAATTTTTAGCTTTCAGCGCTATCACACTTTGAATGACAATTGCGCGGTCATGCAATACTGTACCCATATGAATTTTTTACCATTTTTTTGAGACAGATAAAGCTTTATTTTGGTGGTATTTATTCACCGCTGGGATTTTTATTTTTTTTACTATGTAAATGAAAAAGTTCCAAAATTTTGAAAAAAAGTGTTTTTTTAAATAAAATTGTAGCAAATAAATAATATTTCATCATAAATCTTAGCCAAAATTTATTCCGTTATTTTTTTAGTAAAAAAAAAAAATCCAAATTAGTTTATAACCAAAAATTATAATTTTTAAACATTTTTTTTTACATTTTATTTTATTTTTTTTATATTATTATTTTTTATTTTTATTTTTTTTTTACATACTGTCACCCTAGCAGTACACTGTCACCATGGTGACACTGTACTACTTGTGGAGGGTGATGCAGATTTTTTTTTTTTTTTTTTTTTACACTGATTGCTTTTACACCCATATAGGGTGTAAAAGCAATCATTTCTCTTTCTCTCTGTCTGCATTCTTGCAGTCATTGAGAATTACTGAGTGAGCTGTGAGTGGTCACAGCTTGTCACATGGTACAAGGCTGTTGTGAATAGCCTTGTACCATGTGACCTCTGTGATCATTCACAGATTTCACACATAGTAAGCAATGATGTCACAAGTGACATCTTGCTTACTACTTTGCATGTGATCACTGATTCGCCAATCAGTGATCACATGATCGGGACCTCGTACAGAGGTCCCGTCCGACGATCGGTGTTTCACTGTGTCCGGAGGACACAGCGGGCACCGGATCGCGGTGGTGCGTGCTCCCAGGGAGCGCGCACAGCTAGAAAAGGCGGGTGCCGTTTATGGACGGCAACCCGACCCTGGACTGCCACCGCCCTGCCGTTTATAAACAGCAGGCGGACGGCAAGAGGTTAACAGACAGACAAAAGCTGTCTAGCAAAAGTGGCAATTAGAGGGTTGAGACTATAGTGACTTTTGGGGGACTATTTATTAAGAAATGATTTTATTCCAAAATTGTGAATCCCTGGCTGACTGTTATGGGTTAACATTCTTGGTTGAAATTCAAATGACCTTCTAGGAAGTTACAAAAACCAGTGAGTGGAAGAAACTTGTTTAAAAGACAATGAGACAAACACTACTATTTGAATTTCTACAGGTGAGCCAACACACCTAAACCAAAAGGACAATGGTGGGATCTGATTTTGGTTAGTCTAAGACTTTGCAGATGTATGTCTTCTAAACAAGTACCATTGTCTATAGGAAGCTAGGAGACTTCATCTGCAGGAAACTTAATTATAGAGTCAAACACCACTATTTGGACTTCTACAGGTGAACATATACAAGGTCTGGAAGTGACAATAGGGGAACCAAACCTGATTGTCTGAAAGCTCACACAAAACCGTGGAAAGTGTGATGAACAAACCGTCTCCTTGAAATGTGACAATATGCTATTGAACTAAGGTTTTAACTCCAGGCCAGTCTATTTACCTTAATTACTCAACAATGGATAAGGTTCTCCGTCACATTTCCATGAACTGTATATTCAGCCCAAGGTAAAATCTGGGTCAGTTAAGATACAAAGAAAAAAATAAGATCTTATAAAGGGTATGTTTTCCACACACCAAAATATATTCAACAAAGTTGGGTATTGCATACCACTCAATTAAGTGTGAAATAAGATGATTTGTGAAAATTGGTGTCAATTGTACATTTCCAAAAGAAATCAGCTAGCTCAAAACAGTTAAATATCAGGGAAATAAGAAACCGAATGTATGTATATCTTTCTAGGGTCCTTATCAAAGAATTAGTAGTGAAATCAACTATACTTGAATAAGACATATATATTTAATACCTAAAGACATTTTGGTTTCAATCAAAGCATGAGTCATCATTAAAACACAAATTTCTTTGGATGCTTGACTGTCCCCAGTGGACAGGTGAGAAATATCTCTAAGTACGCACACTTCTCGACCGGCCAATCAACAAGCCTGTTGGGAGGTTCTCTTGAAACAAAGGATTGTATGGTATAAAAAGGCCATACACCTCACACTTAGGCAATCTGAAAATCTGAAAATCTACAACCTGAAACAAACTTAAAAATCTGAAAAACTTAAAAGATCTTCTAAACTTCAAAACTTCTGCTAAACTTCTGAACCTCTGAACTTCTACACTTCTTCTACAACACTACAATCAAGGCTGCTATAACTTCCAATATATATCATCTATCCTATTGCTAACACCTACTGCATTATCCCTCACTTGCTACCTGCAGCCATTTTGCTGAAGGAGTCCAGCTGCCATTTTGTCTTGAGGACATTTGAAGGCCCAACTGCATCCCACTGGGGAATCCTCAAAATCAAAGTTCTAGGAGTGGTGAGACTGCTAGGATATTGTATTTTATTTGATATTTCCAATTTTCCAAAGACTTATAGCATTTGTATTGTGTGTTTAGGAATATTAAGATTATATACATAATTCTCACTAAAAAAAATATTTATTTTGTATTGAGAGTATATATTGCATATTTAACTGATTGGTAGTTTTTGTTGTAGTGCAATTTATCAGAGATACTTTTCTTTTTTCTCTATGGCCACGAGACTTTTGAAATAATTTCTGAAGCACTATAAGCTTACAACTTATACCTAAATTTGATTTTACCTCTATTTACTATTATCTATAATCATATATTGTTGGATAATATAGAAATTAGCCTGTCATATTTTTGATTGTATGTACAAGTATACATTTATCACCAGTATGTTGCGTTTGTATTAATATATATATAAATTTTGTACATAAATAAATACATTTATTTATTTATCAAAAAGGCAATTTTTTTGTGTATATGGTACGAAATCATACTGGCTAAAAGGACTCAAGGTATATTATTAAGTGGTGATCAAATCATTAAGGTGTCCAAATTATTGGTTCATTAAATATTTGCCGTATTTTACGGCTGGAGGCACTGCGATATTTTGTTTAAGGGAGAGGACACCACCCTACGTATTTAGAATAAATTATTACATAAACCACCACAAGACAAACCATTTAACACAGATTGAGTCAGTTTATCATGGTCAGCTTTTAGCCATTTAGTTAAAACCTTTATCCAAAAGAAAAAAAAATTGCTATAATTTGTTAGTCACTTGTGTAAAGTCCATCTGCATCTACTAGTCCAACTGACACTTCCAATCTCCAGACAATGCAGCTATCCACGGTTGTCTCCATTGCTCTTCCATACATAGAGGAGCCACCCTGAGACAGGAAATGCACTACTAGGTAGGTCACCTGGTGAATATAACTCTGGTAAAAAAAACCCACAGTTTTATTTCCGTCTGTGCTGATGTTGAAGAGTTCCTTTAACTTGAGATGTCGTTAAACTTTGATAGCAAGGCAGTAATTGGAGTAACTCTTTCTAACAGAGCCCCAGATAGCAGTAAAAACTTGACAGGGGCCCTACTTTTTCCCCATTCCATCCAAAACAAAAAAAAAATGTTTGGCTGGACATACAGTACACCCTAAGATCAATTAGACTATTGTCCCATTTAATACTGCCAAGGGCCACAAAAAAGTATTTAAGGACCACATGATAATTGTGTTATGTGACTGCTATAGCTATAGATATGTGGGTTGCTATAGCTATTGTTATGCTATTTATAATACCCCTGTGAACCTTGTAATTTGTTCTCTTTTTAGTTTTGTTTTTTTTTGCAGAAGTTAGTATAAATGTTATACTGTATGGTTCCTCAAGAAAAATGAATGCAACATAACTGACCAATTAAATACAGCCTAAAAAACAATAATGAAAATCCCATTTTAATTTAAGGTATGCTACCATTTTGGTGAAATGTAAGACTTTTGAGTATGGACTGCTTGGAAAGCCCTTTTCTAGGAAAATACAATATGTACCCAGTCACTATTGTCTGTGTCTCCACAAGCATTGCATGTGCATAATAAATATTTTGCGTTTATGCATGGGCTGTTTGCTTTGCATTATGGGCACATGAGGCAACAGCATATACACATTTTTTTTAGTATGTGAAAAGAATGACTAGTTTAAAATACTGCTCTGGGCAGTAAAATCTGTTCAGCAAGCCACTCTGTAACCCAGGTTGTATAAGTATCTGTTCATGTAACATGTTAGTGAATGTAGCATATCCTTATGTCAAGGAACATCTGTACCTGATAACCCTATAAAAAGAAATGAAGTAAAGATTGACTTGATTTGCATACCTGTATTATAATGCTTAGTACAGTAACGTAAATCTTTCTCTTCTTTTAGAACAAACTGTGGAAGAGTAAGCCCGTCAGCAATCTGCACAGGTGCATTTTCTTGCCACTCAAAAATTAAATCATTCATTGTGTATCCAACTGAAAGACAGATAGTCATCTCTTAGAGATAAGCATGTAATAAAATGGTTTCTACAAAGATACATTAACCAATAATAATAAATGATACTATCTACATTGAAAGTAAATCCATAGCTTTATGGCAGATCTACTTCACAAATGCATTCAAATAGAAAACAAGCTTAGTCTTATTAATAATGATAGTAGAGTGTTATCTGTGACAGATTTTCAGGTTCCTTGGACAATGCCTCAGAATTATGTACATGACTTCATAAAAATTACTTTGATATTCAATAGTATGGTGTGTATTCAATTGAAAACAGCTGTGGGTAATACTGATTATCATTTGAAGCATGTCAACTGTTGCCAGAAGAAACATCCCAAAATCAAAGACATTAATCTGACAAGAAACAACTGCTATGTCAAAATCTGTTCCACCAAAGTGAATGTGATCATTTAAGAAACACAGTTAATTATACAGGTTTCTCTGTCAAAACTTGCTTTTTTACAACTTTATTAAATTGCATTAATTATATTTTATGTTATATTTAAAAGGTATGTCAATCTATTTTTGAAATGTTATTTAAAAGCTTTGCTCTAGGTTTAAAATTTGTTTACTTCTGTCTGTGACCCTTTTATTTCCTGTTTCATACAGTAAATGTGGGGTAGGGGTTGTGGGTGTCACTAGAACAGGAAGGTTCAGACAGCAATAACAAAAACAAATTATCAGAATTTAACTGTAATAAAATATGTTTTTTCTATGTTCTCGCTGGGGAGTCTTATACAGGGAAATCAATCCAATAGAGACACATACAGCAATAAAAACTAACAAAACTCTAACATTCTCACCTCTGTCCAAAGTAAAAGCAATATTTTTGGCTGCTGTGAGGTTTTAAATTTATGGGTGAGAGTCGAGCCACATTAAGATGTGTTTAGTTGACTTTTTATGTACACTTTATCATTTACTTACTGTATCATTACCTATGCAAAATTGCTTCATGTTCTCTGTCTTTTGTTATAACACAGAGCTGATGTCCATAGTGACAAGACTGTGATCCTTACATAGGTTAACAATGTCAGCTCCTTACTGCATGCAAGGGCTAGTTCACACTAAGCTGATACTGTTGCTCTATTGCATGTTTCCATGTGCTGCAACATGGGTTTGGCTATGATGTTGAAGGATTCCATTCAGTATGCTTGGTTACTTGAAATGCAAAACATCAAATGCTCCATGCAGCTCCTTTCTTAAGCAGCTCAACAATGTGAACAAGTCTTTTGGAAAACCAATATGGTTGATTTACTAAAGGGGTAGAGACTGTTCACTTAAGTCAGTGAATGTTACTGAGTTTAGTAAATGAGGTGAAGCTGCATTCACTTTATGTTTTTTTTTTTATTCACTAAAATTTTATTGAATTTCAACAAAGAAGTGATACAGAGTAGAAAAAGCATTTAGAAAATCTGTAAATACATTTCTGAACAGAAGGCATATAGATAAAGTAAGTTGCATTCATTTTAATCGACTGGTCATGTGCTTCCAAAAATCCTGCAGGCTAATTAAGATTGTGTATAGAGTTTTGTGTTTAATATGCACTTTTTGTGACTGTCCCTCAGTTTCTGAAGTTAGCCAACTAATTTACTCTTTTCACTAGATTGGATTATGAATTAAATTAGCCTTTTTTATTATTATTGTTATTAAAAGACAGAATGAAGTTAATGTATTAATGTAACCTCCATAACTAATTAAACTATGACAGCATGATGATCCAGGGATTTATCAAATTAAGTGTCAGAAAGGATTTTTTTTCTCTCTAAAGACAAACTGGACTAGTGTTTAAAAGATGTAACAAATATTTCTTGTTACAATGGCTGAACCACATTAACACGTGTTTTTACAACATATTTTATCATAAAATAATAAATTACTATTTAAATTTAGAATACTATTATAGTTTTATGTATTCAATTCCAAAAGAAATATTAGTAGCACTAAATACGATAATCGGAGATATGCTTCTGGTGCGGCTCAATGGCTGACAGCAAAGATCGCCCTGCTGGCAGAGAAAGGAAATGGTAGCAGCGTCCCAAGTAACTCCAGAATCTTGACAATGTAGATGAGCATGAACGCCGCTCAAACCAATCTCCAGGAGTCAGAGAGGAACAGGATGTAGCGAGATGGCCTCAGCTGTCACTCTGGCCACGCCTTATGTGTTTTGCCCCGCCCATAGTGGGCTTGGTCAAAGATGCTTCTATGGGCGGAACAAAATGCATCAGAGGGTGTGGTCAGAGAGACGGCTGAGGCCATCTCACTACATCCTGTTCCTCTCTGACTCCTGGGGATTGCTTTGAGGGGCGTTCATCCTCATCTACTAAATATGATAATAATAAAAACAGTAATAACAAAAAAGTTAGATTATAATTACATATGTGCAGTTTGTAATATAACTTTATTTAAAGTATATGTGAACCCTTATTTTATATAGTATTTGGCAGAATCAACTTCGAGCTACACATCCCAAGTACATACAGACATTATAATGCAGTGAAAAAGTCCAAAGAAGGTCTGTTTCTAAACAGAAAAGGATATAGAGGTAGAATGAGCCTATGTTTATATGAAATGTAATTTTAGAAAACTGAAAGAGATAAAAAAAACAAAGCCATATATTAAAATGGTAGTAAACTCTGCTTTTTCTCTTGTACCTACAGGAAAGCCTATAATAAGGCTTACCTGTAGGTACAGGGAATAGCTCCTAAATGTACACCATTTAGGAGATATTACAATGTGAAGTAGCCATTTACATCACTGATGCACACACACTGCTCTCTTAATGGACTGCATGCTATCCTTTGAGAGAGAGCTGTGACACAGCCATGACTCCAGCATGGATGTGGGGGAGTGACACCATCACAGCTGGGCCATTTAAATGGCTAGATCCTGTTAACCCAGAAGGAAGACCGAGTGAAGATGGAATCCTCATCAGTGGTGACAGCATGCCACTGGAGGGATCTTTTTTTTATGTAAGTCTGTCATAATGTGCTAGCATATTGTACTTGTTTACACAATATTACATGAGTCAGTGTGGAGGTAAGTTGATTTTCAGTAGGTTTTGTAAAGAAGGTATACCAGCTGAGTATTGGAGAGAATCTCCAAAATGCTTAAGATCACACTGAGCTTCAGGGGAGAACTGTGGTTAATAACGATTTTCATCCCCACATTCACAAAGAGCCCTAACAGGAAGTAGAGATCCATTATCAAGTGTGTAAGCCATTACCCAGTTTCAGGTACTATTAGAAAGGAATTTAAACAGCAACCCATCTATGCGTTTCAGTACTTTTCTAATGAGTCATGTCCTATTACACAGGCCTCTTCTATCTTGGCTGTTCACTCTACCTCACCATTCAATAACGGTAGGTAGTAAAATCAGTTTCCATTGTCATGGAATAAGAATCTTGACAGCACTTAGAAGATAAATTGTTAGAGACCTCTTTTATGCATTTATCAGAAAAGTAGTGTCATGTAGAAGACAGGCTTGGGGAATAAAAGAGCATGGACCTGTCAGTAGGGTCCAATAAGTAAACATTCCCAACAAAGGTGGAAAAATAATATCTGTGTCACCACAATCCCTCCAGCATTGATCAGATGTGTCAGGGAACATTTATTTTAATTTGTGAGTGGTTTTATATAACCTTGAAAGCAATTTATAAGCATTCTTGGATGCTTGAGGTAAAGGAACTGAGTGTGAGAGTGTATAGTGTTTCCCATTGTGTATCCTTCAGGGTGATGTCTAAATCCACTGAAGATTAAAGTTCTGAGGAGGTGCCATGTCATTTCTGGTGAGAGAGTTTTATAGGTTTGAAATAGTATGCCTCACAGGTTTATCTGAAGTGCAGAGAAATGCAAGGGGTTGTAGTGATCCTAAGAAACTATGTTTAAATTTGTAGCTCATGATATAGTCATGAATTTGGAAGTAGGACCAGAACAGCAAGGAGGAAGTAAGTCCTAGGTGTTCTTCTTCTGTTCTGTTTCTTAAATTTCCTCTGTTAAGGAAGATTTTTTCTCATGGGTGTGTGTATGTTCCTACCAGTTTGTAAGAGGGGCATTGTAATACCTGGGGGGAAATACAGTATGTACTGTTGGTAAGAGGAGTCATGGTGCCTAGAGAAGTGGTCATCTGTAGTTACTCTCCAATGTGGTCCAGAGTTAGTAGTGTGTCTGATGTGAGTCTGAAGTCATAGATTAACTTTGGTATGTAGGATGTATGGATCCATGGGACTATATTGCATGGGTTATTTATAATATTTGCTTTACAAGTAACCCAGTCTTGGGAAAAGGAGTGAAAGTGTCAGTCAACAATTCTGGTTAGCAGACAGACATACTTTTTTAGCGTAAAGTTGGGTAGGTCAATCCCTCCTCCCATCTAAAGTACAGTAAGAAGGGAATGATTGTAGAGCATATAACAGTCTGGAAAGGATTTAAATTTTATTTATAACTCACCCAAACCAGGATAAAGTCAGTAAATCCTATTTGTCAAGAGTGTGCTTTATATCTTGAAGCAGTGGGGAAAAGTTGATTTCAAATACATCGCTAGGTTTGGCTGGGATGTGAATGCCTAAAAGTATGATTAATTTGGGTTCTCAACATAATGTGAAGGAGTTTTTAAGTTGATTGAATAAAAGGAAGGGAGAGTGTGACATTAAGGGCAAGAGATTTATCATAACTGCTTTTAGGATTAGATAGTGATCCAAAAATATGGAAACCATTGATGAGGTAGGGGACCATCTGGGTTGGCTGAGAGATATAAAATAGGAGTTCACCCAAGACCAGGTACGTCCTCATACCCCCCCCCCCCCAAAGAGTGCGGAAGGATTTATGGTGCAGATAAAATGTTAGATTGGTAATATTAAAATTAAAGAAAACAAGGGACGGCCTTGGAGTGTCCTGTAAATTAAAAGCATTCTGTTTTCTAACATTTTTGCAAAAATCACATGTACAATTTTAATTAATCAATGTTTGATTAAAATGTCTAAAACTCAAAAACTAAATCATATTTAAAAACAAATTACATTACGAATTATGAAATCTTAAGTCTTATACAAGAAGCACAGTGAGTGACATACAATTACAAGTATTTTTACTTACAGCTCTCCAACTGCATAATACAAGTCTGCACATCCATAGGGAAATTTTTCAGATCCATAGGACAAGACAATGTAAGTGTCAATCTAAATAAATAAATACATTCACATATATGTGTTAACATTTGATAATTAATATTTAAAACATTGTATTAGGAAAGGCTGGAAATTAACACTGGGTCTCAAATCCCAAAAGCGATTCACTGTCACTTACTGTATACAAACACAGAAATGCATGTAACAGACACTTGGGCCATTCTGAGAGCATCACAGATTGGACATTGTTTCCCAACTTCCACACTTTCTTTTTGGTACATTACTATGATAAAAAAGCATTTGCTGGGCAAGGAAGTGTCAGATGTTTGCCTTATTAAAACTGCCCAGTACTTGGGCATAGCTATAGGGACTGCAGGCTGCTGCAGGACTGTATAATTTATACTTATTAGCAGCCTTTTTTTAAAGTCACAAAGTCATTTTAAATGATGAGCATGCAGTATAATACAAACATTTAATCCACGATAAAGAGTTCCCAGTGCTTTGTAGATTATCTAAAAAGACCTCACAGCAATATGCAAAAATCTGATAAAATACCTGTAATGAATATGCTTTACCGGGAAGGTAATTGAATTCTACAACATGAAATGGCCAATGAAATATAGATGAGAAAATCTTGGATAGTTATTTTTAACGGTCACATTGTACAGTACAAGAGAAATAAAGATAATAGTTAGGGATGAGTCAATTTAACAAACTCTGGATTTCCAGCAAATCTGATTTATTTGTGGTGAGGAAATGTATGTTAGGGGAGTCAACACATCTAGTGAACTAAAGCAAGGGGTTCATTTTAATGCTGCCTTCCTCAGCTGCATATACCTAACTTTGTTTTCTTTCACCTCCTTGTGGCTGCTGAGAATAAATAAAGAAAGCCATAATTAAGTTCCACATTATATTTTGAATCTTAAGCCACTCATAGATGATGCGATTTACCCATGGTTGATGGGGGACTTCCTCCGATGGAACTATTGTGTTCTCCCAGTGGGGGGAACCATCCCTGCCGGGAGAACGCTGGCGATAATCGTATGAAAAATCCAACAGGCTGGTTGTTCCCAAGTTGCACTGCAATGGAATTGAGTACAATCAGCCTGTCCGTGGATGGCCTGAATCTTGGCCGATTCCTGATGAGCCAGCAGATATTTCAACCATTTATGGCTGGCTTTACACAGAGCTATATACTCTCTCCCTGCTCACCATGTGACTGTCCTAAGTGCATAAGTGTCCAGTGGCCAAACACCAGAACTGTCACATGACAGTAAGGACTGTAAGGACTTGTAAGGACTGGGCAAATACAGAGAAAGGGAAAGTAAGTAAAAGCAGCTGATAGGACCAGCATTAAAGTGAACCTGTTTTGCTCTGCAAAAATAAGTAAAATATGTGCTCGATGTAAGTAAAAATTACTTTCTTTTTATTAAATCAACATATACTTGAAGCAGAACTGTCACCATTATCCATAAGCACATCAAAAGTGCTTACAGATTGTTTTCAATATTCTTTATAGATATAGTTCTGACATTTTCACTAAATATTTGTACACTTGCTATTAGTCTGTATTACTTCAACATCTACATTTAAGGTCAGCTTCCAGTAGATTTGCAATATTGCTAGTGATACTAAAGGACAAACTGAATGACATGCTTATGTTCCGCTGTTACTGTAAAGCTACAGGCTGCTCCTGACATTTCATTTGTAAAGACACAGTTTTGAAGCGATGTCCTCTTAATGACCTTGGGTGATTCTTGTTAAAACGAGATGAATATACATTTCGATTGCAAAATACTGAGCAGTAAATACAAATTCAAACTATTAGTTAGATTTAGAAAAAATATTCTATTTTAATTTGTTATTGATTGTGCAGGTCTAATTAGATATAGAATTAGATTGTAAGCTCCAAGGAGCAGGGCCCTTCTAACCCTCTTGTATTGAACTGTATCATTGCTGTATTGTCTCCCTTTATATTGTAAAGCGCTGAGCAAACTGTTATAAACTATATAAGTCCTGGATGATAATAATAATAATAATACCACTATATATATTTTTGTGGCAAAGTATGCTAGTCAATAAACTAAAATTTAAAATTAAAAATTTAGATTAGCATCTCCAAATTGTGTGATTATCTGGTATCACAATCTGATAGTGTTACTAAACCCAGGACCCTGCATTCACTATATCTGGTCTCCCACAGTACACAGAACATGGAAGTGCAATTATTTTAGTAAATGTAAACTGCTAAATACATTTTCTCATCAGCAATTAGAGCAGTCTTGTGACTTCTATCAGTGTCCAGCAGAGCACATGTTAAAGCTTGTATGATGGTTTTTTTTATTTTGCTCTAGTAGGATGCAGAACCCCTGACCTCTGTCTGGACAGTGCTGATTGGCCCTGTGCTGACCACATGCACTATCCAAAGAAAAAAAATAACCTCTCTAGCAATACATACCAAACTGAGCATATTCAAAGTGACTCCACACAATATATCTTATAGGGAGATAAGAGGGGGACACTGGAAGCAGGGGAGGATCAGAGAAGTCAGGATCAAACAGCATTTTTATACAATGCAGAGGATTAACCCCTTAGGTTCCACAGTGACTATAACAAGCATGCTTTACTGCATATACAGACTGACTTTATTGTTGTGGATTTAGTAACACTTTAAGGGATCGATCTGAGTTTACTATTTAGTTCTACCAATCTCTAATACAAATTGGTATTTTATTTACTTTTACATATATCTCAGCACATACATTTTCCTTTTATATGCAAGATGTTTTTGGGAGGTGGTGGGGTGGAAGGTAATGAAGGCTGATTTATTTAATAATGTCCTTTGTATTTGTGTTTTTCTTTTTTTGTGCACTATTTGTTTTATGTCATTTTAAATGTTTATATTACTATTCACTCCAAGGAGTAGGGCCCTCTGTTTCCTCTTGTACCAAATTGTATTGTAACTGTAATGTCTACCTTCATTTTGTAAAGTGCTGCGCAAACTGTTGTCACTATATAAATCCTGTATAATAATAGCTGTCTGTTCTTTTGTTTTTGTGAACAATTAATTAATGAGGCAAATAGTTGGGGCATCTTTTGGTGCAAAAGAAGTTACAGGATGGTTTAATGATGCTTTTAAAGTCCTTTGCGCTCTTAAAAATAGCCAAAAAGTTTAACTTTTGACTCCAATGCAGTTTGGCAAAATAGTAAGATGTTCTCTAAATGAAATTTCTGAGTTTTTTAAAAAAAAATTTCATCCTTCCCTAACTATAATAATGTTGACAGCATTGCTCTGTATAAGAAATCAGTGGAGCTTTGAGTTAACATTACATACTGAGCACAGCCCATTGCTCATTGCTCCTTTTATTTTTACAAAGTGTTCATGCCAGTAACACACTTTCTGTTTTAACATGATAATGCTCACTCACACTGCTGTATCTATGAAAGAGCAGCTTTGTCACGCTAGGCAGGGCTGATAAAACTGCTTAGGATTCCAGTACAGCACAGGCACAGAACGTTAGATATATTTTTTTATTACAGGTAATTATACACTACCCGGCCACTTTATTGGGTACACATGTTCAATTGCTTATTAACACAAATTGCTAATCAGCCACTCAATGCATTTAGGTATCTAGACGTGGTGAAGATGACTTGCTGAAGTGCAAACCAAGCATCAAAATGAGGAAGAAAGGGGATTTAAGTGACTTTGAACATGACATAATTGTTGGTACCAGACAGACTGGTCTGAGTATTTCAAAAACTGCTGATCTACTGGGACAGCAATATCTAAGGTTTATGGTATGGGATCCTCCTGCGCTCATGGGAATAACTGACACAATACAGCTGCTGTCACTTTAACTAATACCAATAAGTGCAAGAAATAAACATAAAATTAGTGAAGCGCTTGTATCTCATGAATACAATCATGTGTCTCCATAAAGTATAATAGTAAATCAAAGTGACCACGATATATATTAAAAATATGTGAACTCCCTCTAGTGGATAGAAAAAATATAATGTCAACCAAAATGACTATAATGGCTAAATATCACACATAAAGAACCTAAATATGTAGTGCATAAATCAGATATACTAAACAAAGTATATATACATGAAAACAGAATAATTGGCCACATACAATGGTGTCTAAATCAAACATAACTAATATATGCCATAAGTGAAAAAGACAATATCAAAGGTGAAAAAATATTCCATGCATGTGACTGTGCTTTAAGCTGGAACACACACGTGATCTCCACTTCTAAGTGCAAGTACTCTCCTTCAAATGGCAGCAATGCCTGCTCACCTCCCTTCCTCGACCCACACAGGGCCTCAAAGCAGTTACCACCTCAGTGGTGTATTCCTCTGGCAGACTCCTTAATCCTCCTCCTCTCTTATGCAACTCATAAAAAGACAAGAAAGCCTTCCATAGTGTAGTAAGTTTTAATAGGCAAAGTAAAAAGTGACAAAGTAAACCACTCACATGCTCCTTTCCATAAACAAGCGTTTTTCCCAGCCTGTGGGTAGATATGCATGCACCTGGGGGAATCCAATATGGCCACTGTGTCCGGACATACGTCACCAGGAAGTAGACAAACCGACGCGTTGCGTCACGTGCGTCGTGACTTCATCAGGGTGAAGTCACCCTGATGAAGTCACGACGCACGTGACGCAACGCGTCGGTTTGTCTACTTCCTGGTGACGTATGTCCGGACACAGTGGCCATATTGGATTCCCCCAGGTGCATGCATATCTACCCACAGGCTGGGAAAAACGCTTGTTTATGGAAAGGAGCATGTGAGTGGTTTACTTTGTCACTTTTTACTTTGCCTATTAAAACTTACTACACTATGGAAGGCTTTCTTGTCTTTTTATGAGTTGCATAAGAGAGGAGGAGGATTAAGGAGTCTGCCAGAGGAATACACCACTGAGGTGGTAACTGCTTTGAGGCCCTGTGTGGGTCGAGGAAGGGAGGTGAGCAGGCATTGCTGCCATTTGAAGGAGAGTACTTGCACTTAGAAGTGGAGATCACGTGTGTGTTCCAGCTT